AGAGAGAGAGAGAGAGAGAGGCAGAGAGAGACAGGGAGAGAGAGAGAGACAGGCAGAGAGAGACAGAGAGAGAGAGAGACAGAGAGAGAGAGGGAGAGGCAGAGAGACAATGGCACAGAGACAGAGGCAGAGAGGCAGAGGCAGAGAGGCAGAGAGGCAGAGAGGCAGAGGTAGAGCGGCAGAGGCAGAGACAGAGGCAGGATACTGGCAAGTTTGTGGCCAATCTGGTGTACCTGATATTATATATCAGGACCCTGTTTGGAAAAAAAGGATGAGTTTACTAACTTGAACTTTTTCTTTATTCTTAGTTTGTTTTGTGCCAGCTTAGGTCTGATTCTGCCCTTAGGTCTGGTATCCAGGCACCACTGTGTACTGGTCAGGACTGAAAGGAATGAAGCTTACTCTGGTGGATGAGTTTCACAGGGTCCTAGCCAGCATGAATGCAAGGGGATAAATAGCCTTCTTCAGGGATGGTTTTCAGTGAAACAGCTCTCTTTTACTGGGGGTAACGAGGGGAGTAGGTAGGGGTTTGTAGAATGGGGGTACATTACTGGCCAGTGTCCAGGTGCTGAGAATGCGCATTTGCATGTAGAAGAATATCTACTTCCTGGACACACCCTTATAGGGAGAGAGAGAGGAAGTTTAATCTATAATTTGGCTATTAGGCTACATGACTACCTCAAGGGTGGCAGAGGTGGGAATCATAAGGTTTATGTGCACAGGGCATGCAGGCATAGAGTAAGGAGGAAAGTAGTCCTACCCCTGCTGGTCTCAGGATGAGATTTTTAGGGCTTGGACACATTAACCTTACTCTTGTTCTGGATTGGCTCCCCAGGTTGCATGGCTTTCCAGACCCACAGGTTTCATACTTTGAAACAGTCTTATTGTAACCTAGACTGGCTTCAAACTCACAGTCTTTCTGCTAGCTTCCCTCATGTTGCTTGCCATCATATCCTGATGGTTGCTTTAACTGTTGGTCAGAAGTCTGAGGATATTACAGGCTTTGGGTAAAATGAAGGTGCTGATTTGTACACCTAGAGGTTCAGAGAAAGCATCCCTCTTTAGTTCATCTGCTGGACATCAGCCTTCAGTTCTGTGGTGTAGATGAAGGACTGAGGATGCTGCCTCTGATTTACCCTCAGCTTCTAAAGGCCTTGACATCTATTCCCCTTTGCTCTGAGCTGGTAGTGGGAATTGCATTCCTGTGTTAGTTTTCTTTATGAATATGGGCTTATTACAGGAGCATCTTAAATTTCGTTGCACACCTACAACTTAAAATGAGGCAATTTTAAAAGAAGTAAGATGAGATTTGTAGATAGATACTAGCTGAGGTCCTGAGCAAGCCATTGATTTAGTGTTTTGTAAGCCTTCTGATATTTAGAGGAATGCTAACATTATGATGTGAATTAAAAGGAAGAAAGAATTTAGGGAAGGACCTAACATAGAAGGTCTGTTAGAAGTGTCAGTGCTCCAAACCAAGTCAGGTAGCTTACACTAGTCATTTCAGAACCAAGGAGACTGAAGCAGAAGGATTGTGAATTCAAGGTTAACCTGGGCTACATAGTGAGCTATGGTCCATCCTGGGATATGTAGAGAGACCCTACCCACTCTAACCCTTGAAAGAAAAGAAAGGAAGGGAAGATAGCAACACTCCATGTGTCTCTGCTGAAACTGATATTACATCTGAGAATTTTATGAGAAGTCCACCCTCTCTGTCATACTACAACTATAGCTGCTGCTCACTTTTGAAATGTTTTTAAGGAGAATTGGGTTATGATTTTCTAAAAGCACAGCATCCATTCTAGAGAACTCAGCTTTCTCTGGGAATTTGTCACCCTGATAGCTTGTGTGGCCAGCCTGGGCCCAGTTTTCCTTTCTTGCATTCACTGGACTGGCTGAGCTATTTTCCTTTACTCAGTTTCCAGCAATTGTTTACTGTTAAATTTTCCATAAAGATCCTTCTCTCCTAATGTTCTGTAGCTTGAGTTAAGTAAAAACAATAAAAGTACTCAGTGTAGCACTGAAGCGGTCACTGAACATTACCTTGTCATCCTTCTGAGCAGCAGAAGTAGATGTCTTCTGAAACTACAATAGCCACTTACTCTTGAGTGATAGAGGCTCATTCCTCCTATCCCCCTATTTGTATATTTACAAGTTTCTAGGTATAGCAAACAACAACAAACAGCGCAAAAATGTGCACTCCTAAGATATATAAAGTAGACTGTAAGTACATGAGAAGATATTCACCATTAGTCATGAAGGAAAAGTAAAAATAAAATCTATTGGGATGGATATTTAAGGGAGATACATGTCACTGACAATTAGAGAATACTATACACTGCTGGTGGACCTCTTAAATGATACGGCCACTGTAGAAAAGTTCTATGACAATTTCTCAAAATTGCGAACATACTATCTTGCATATCTGCATTGAGTTATGAACCCCAAAATATGAACATAAGAGCTTAGATATTTGTGCAATGTGTTTATAGCACAATAGTCGAAAGGAGGTGCTCTGAGTGCCCATGGACAGGGAAATGGATAAACAAACCACACTAAAAGTAGGCATGCAATAAAAGTCAGCATTAATTGGGAAGAAAATCTGATGGCATGCCACAATACAGCTGATCCGTAAAATATTCAACTACATAAAATTAACCATTCACAAAAGGACAAATTGGATTTACTTCTCTAAAGCATCTAGAGTTTGAGGAGATAAAAAAAGAAAATATTGGTAGCCAGGCACCAGAGAACAGAGAATTAGCACTAATGAGATTCTAGTTTCCATCTAGGAAAGTAAAAAGTTTTCAGGAGATGGAGGGTGATGATGGACATACAACAGCAGGAATATTATTAATGCCATTGAGCCATCCACTTATGATATTTAAGAGTCATTTTCATGTTGTGTATGCTTTACCATAGTACTTTAAAAATTTCATTCTGATCTTGTCTTACAGGGACAGGACTCTCCTCCCTGAGACATCATGGCCCTGACCCCAGAACAGAGCAGACAAACAAAACTGAAAGAGGTAGGAGGGATCCCACTGCAGGCTCCAACTGTGGACAACTGGAGCCAGATTCAGACCTTCAAGGCCAAGCCAGATGACCTCCTCATTTGTACTTACCCCAAATCAGGTAACCTGGTAGAGTAACAGCCCCAGCCTCACCCTCTGAGCTATCTGAACTCCTCACCTCAATTAGAACTCTCTACAATGAAAAGCTGGATTTTTTTTTTTTTTTTGGTCCCACGATGGGTGCCACCTCAAATGTCTTATCTTTGGGATTTTTGAAGCTTAGTCTCCTCTACCATTTATTTTTCTTGGGAAAAGGTGAGCTTTGTCTCTACTCTTCCACCTTTCACAAAGATCCAAAATATTCCTTCCATAGCTAACAGGATCCTGGTTAGAAGGTGAAGCCAACATCCGCATCCACACCCCTTCATTAGTGTGTTTGAAGAATAATAGGTTTCTGACTCTTAATCTTTATGGTCTCCCCAGGGACAACATGGATTCAAGAAATTGTGGACATGATTGAGCAAAATGGGGATGTAGAGAAGTGCCAGAGAACCATCATTCAACACCGGCACCCTTTTATTGAGTGGGCACGGCCACCCCAGCCATCAGGTAAGAAACTCTGACTTCATATATGTTCCTCTCCTGCCTTATCTCTGTCTTTGTCTCTTCATCTTCTCCTCTTTTTCTTTCCTGTCCCTCTGTCTCCCTCCCTTCCCCTCTTTTTTGTTATTTGACACAGCATCTTTTTACATAGCTCTGGCTGTACTGGAATTCATGATGTATATTAGGCTGGCCTTGAGCTCACAGAGATCCTTCTGCATCTGCCTCCTGAGTGTTGGGTTAAATGCATGTGCCACTCTTCCCAGACCCATCTTTTTTCTTTTCTCTATTTCCAATAAATGTGAGTCAACAAGGAAGATAGATGCATATGGAAGCAAAATTCTGCCTTATTTTCTCGGTATACCTTTGTTCTGGTCATGTGTAACTGTAGAACAGAAGAAGGTATATAACTCTACTCATCAGCAGTTCACACCCATTTTCTGTCAGTACTCTACTCTTTTATAACCAAGTGCTTTCTGGACAGTGTCTGATGATTCAAAACAAACAAATAAACACACACACACATGTGCACACAATACACATGCATACATGTACACACATACACACATAAACACATGCACACACATGTATATGCACATACAGACACACAAACACACACATACACATGCACACACATACACATGCACACACAGACACATAAATACACACATACACATGCATACACATATACATGCACACACATATGCACACACATGTACATGCACATGCAGACACACACACACATACACATGCACACACATACACATGCACACACACACACACACACGGAGGCAAGTACTTTGCTCAGTTGATAAGCTATTTTTCACATAAAGTTAACCTGATGATTTTTTTTTTCATAGATGGGGGAAGTTCACAAGTACAACCAGAAGACAGAAATCAGGACTGGGGACTTATCTTAAGTCATCACATCACAAAGTTATATTAACAGAAACTTTGGAACCTTTGCATCTATTGCTGTGAGGACCATTCTAGTGTTAAATATGGCAACCTTGGAACAGTCATTGTCAGGCTTTGATAAATTCATTCAAATGTTTCAAGACAGAAAGTTCCTGATCAGATATACTTAGTAACTTGTAACCTAGGCAAGGGGATGTCTTTATGTCAGGATATCTTTTCTGCCTGTCTAGCTCTCCTGTCTCTAGAAATCCCTGACTGTGTAGATGGCCATTTGCATTGTAGTCCCACTCCTGGTCCATCCTTTCTGAGTTTTTTACCTCAGTACAGAATATCCTGACTGTGATCCCAGTTGTCTTCTTTAACTCTCCTTCATAGGATTTGTTTCCTCATTTCTTTTGATCTATGTTAGAATATTTCCTATCTACAATACTTTAATTTCTAGATCAACTGGACATTGTGATATAAAGCCTATGCAGGTAATGAGAGGACAGTGTGACTTTTAAGGGAGGCTATTTTCATGCATCACAGCCAAGGGAGGCACAGAGAAATTTCCCAGAAACCCTCTATCAGTAGATAAAGTTTTATTTTCTCATCCTTTCTTAAAATGGCAAACATTTCAACTTCCAGATAGCCACAGATTTATGCTTTGTGTTTTGACCTTCTGAAGGCCATAATTATCAGCCTCAATCTCCACAGGGGTCACTGGGCACAGCTGCATTGGTCAGAGAGGACAGTTGTCAACATAGCCTCTCCAGCTTTTCTGCCTTGCAGCACCTCTTCACTCTGGTCCCCAGGGGTATGTCTCTTTAAAGAGGCCAACTCTAACTAACAACCACTTCTGTTCTGCCTTCTCTGAACCTCAACTCAAATCACATTTCTTTCTTTTCTTCTTTTCCCTTTCCCTTCCCCTTACCCATTTCCCCTTCCCCCTTCCCCTCCCCCTTTCCCCCTTCCCTCCCTCCCTCCCCTCCCCCTCCCCTTCTCCCCCCTCCC